AAGTGACATGTTAGCGCCCACCCAGCCGGTCCATCAAAGAAAACCCACCCAACTGAGCTGGTGATAATTAGTCGGCATGAAATGGCTCATCGTCTCGCTCAAACCAAGTCCCTCCGGCGGCAGCCCCTGCGCATACTTGGGAAGCTCCATATCCCGCACCTTCCCGTCCCAATCCAATATGATTGAGTATTTAGGCGCGCAAGATGTCAGAGTACCCTGAACGATGGCAGTGAAGCACTCTGCTCCAAACCGCGCCTTCCAAAATGGAACTGCAGAAATCAGCATCGCTGGCAACGAGATACAATCACCGGACTCACAACTCGTTTGGATGGTGCCATCTGCGGCCATGGTCTCATCGTTGTCGAGCAGGAGTTTGCAGTTGACAAAGGAGAGGGAGCACATTGCTAGCCGCCCGGTGGCGTGGAGGTAGCGGATGGAGGTGACGAGTTGTGGTGGGACGAGCACTGCTCTCATGGATCTCATATCCCTTGCTCCTTCCATGGCAACAATCTACACAGACGCACCAGTGTGTGCACAGGAAAAGAAAGTACCGACTGAACTCATTGAAGTGGGCGATACAGTCCCCATGTCGTCAATCATGAGAGTGTCCTCGAGTTGACGAATCCGGTCGCTCATATGCGCAATTTTTGAATGGAGTTTTTCAGTATTTGAAGGGTCCCTCGGACGATAGATCTCACCTGGAACAGGGCACTGTCTTGTCACGCTTGAGCTTCAGTCTTGGTGAGAGGAGGCCTGATCAGTGTGCATTGCAGAGACAAATAACGCACCGACTTACCGTCTGTGACAGAAGGAGAACATTCAGTAAATGAAGCCCACCGAGAATGAAGAGAACACACCGGCACTCTGCAGGAGAGTATGAATGCTTGTACATGTTTGACAACAGCCTGTACAAGCATTTTGGTTCCACGGGATCAAATTGGCGACGTGTTCGCGACTTTGCACTATTGTGTCCCTCTGTCTGTACATGGTTCTTCAGGGTAAGTGGTTTACATTACATGTCTGGTATAACTATGCTATATCTCTCAAGTAAATCTCTAAGGACCGAAATGTATTCTTCCTGGCGTCGGATAGTATCAAATGAATCACTCAATTCTTCCCAGTGTCCAACCAGTGCATTATCAGCACGTTGACGAATTGCCGCAGTCTCTTCTTCTATTAGTGAGTGGATGGATCTGAGTATCTGGATTTCTCTGTGCTGAAGATCATCCCAACTTGGATTCCAGTCAGCCTTGGGTTTGGGAGTGGTATTATGTGGCGACACCGCAATATATGGACCATCAGATGCTCCCAAAGGCAGCTGTGCGCCACCAGCATAGCTCACTGCGGCTATTTTACTAATCAGACTAGTACTACAGTTCCAAAAGAAATAGGTGCATACCATTGTAGTCTTCTAAATTGGTAACTAACTTGAATGCAGGTAGTAGCGGCAGAGGACTGGATGTGATCGGAATATCATCTTCATTATCATCATCTGTAGGGACTTGCAAGCAATAGACAGCCTTTTGCTTGTCCAATGGCAAACCTATAATATTATCTCACTGGGTTGACCAATTTTACACATCCCGATATTAAGCGCACCTTTTGCACTCTCAACCAAAGTGATATCACCGTCATACTTGAATACATCGTTGTCGGTCACCATGATTGGGTGTTGGGCCTTGTCACTCGATATCGATGATTCCACATCCAGATATGCATGGACTGGGGCCTTCCTTGGTGGCGCTGCAACAGTCAGGTAAGCTGATTGGAAAGGTTCAGTGATAGTGGTGTGAGATTACTGAGATTTTGCCCTAGGTATAACCCTGATTCCCATTGGCTGTCTGTGGTTTGCGAATCCAGTGCACCGCCGTGTCCATAAAATCTTCGGTGTCGTCAAGCTCTCTATCCAGACCGTATCACTGTAAACTCACTGCCAGATTGAAATTCCTGCAACAGCATTCAGATGTGCTCGCCGACACTGAGCCCGCACTTGTGAGCGAGATGGGGTACCTCGTCCTAAACTATCCCAAGGGTGAGCCGTTCAAATATGTTAGGACATGAGGATGTCAGATAACTCACCCTCGGGGTGCAGGTTGGTCGACAGTGTCTGAAGACGGCACATAGGAGCTAGACGACATTGCGGGGGTCTGTCACTGTCACAGCGATGGACCTCCTCAATTTATAGCGTGGCTTTGTTTAATTTTTTTTTACTTTCTGTTGATTCTGATTCAACGTGTTCTTTGCTTCACATGATGGTGCGCATCTGATAGGGTATATAAGAGCTAACACAGGCATTTGCAGATCTTCAAGAGATGTATTCGAACCTCCCACCCACCCCTAGTCGCTCATCGCCAGCCAATCTGGACAGATGGGAGGCCTCAGAAGACTTGCAGCCTACTCTTCCCACCCTGTCGAGTATGTCAGGCTGGTCTTCTGACTACGTTACACCCACTCGGCCATCGCATCCAACGAACACCCCTTTTTGGGTGAATAGCCCATTGCAGCCAGCTCCCGATACACCAGCGCCCCCTGCTGTAACACCTCCCAGTGACGACGTGTTTGCCTTTGGCCCATCTCCGGTCAAGGTCAAGCCTCTTGTCATTGACTGACTAGCCAAGGACTTTGAGCTGTCGGATCCACAGCGGCAACAATTGCATCTTTTTGCAGAGGTATGTTTCATTTTCTGCATACACATTGTATGATTGAAGCCCTTCATCATTCCAGCTCGGAAACATACAGGGTGGCCTTTCGCTACCTGATATGCTTACACACTTGTTCTCTCTCACCGTCCAGTTCAATCTTCATAATAAGTGTTTTGAGGGTGATCAGAATGCAGAAACTATGGCCGGCTTACTCCAAGACCTCAAAAGTCAACTGGTGAAAGGATTTGACTTCACGAAGGCGCAAAAGGTATGTTGCAGTGTCACATCAGAAACACTTTCACACTTATTATGATGCAGGATAACATCCGCTTCTTGGGTAGAGACATCCTCTATGATCCCCAACGAACAGCTTATCGGGATATTGAGGACGAAATCTTTGTAAGTTTTATCCTGCTGGTAATTGTCGTTGGTAACAGCAATCCCAGAGGTGTTTGCTCCGAGAGAAAGACACCTTGGGCTTCAAGAATGTCTTTGGCATCCCCTCTCGAGAACACCTTCTCTGCAGTGAGGTCTGAGTTATATCATCTAGTGTCAGGAACAGGATGAGAGAAGATGTGCGTATAAATGTTCTCTGTTCTCAGCCAACAATAAAATATCCTCAGTTTCGTGACAGCCTCAAGAAAAGTCTTGCCAATTTTACCTATGAAATGGATAGAAAATATTGGTGCTCTGGGTCTAGCACCAATTACCATCTAACAATGGCACGAAACAGTATATTTGTACGTACATCATCTTTGGCTCATCCTGGTTTTGGCTCAGTAGGATACATATACAGCGCCGCTTTGTTGCAGAGAATCCACAGCTCATCTGAGCCACAGACAAACCAACGTCAGAAGCAGAGAATATCCAGCACGGACCCACCCAACCACCCAGTAAGAAGTGTAAGCTACCGACTGGTCGCAACGCCAAAGGTGAAGACTTCTGGAGCAAGATCGACGACTATTTTCACGATAAAATTGAGCAGCACAACTCTAAGAACCTGCTTTCGGACAGCTGGAAACCGTCAGGACTCCCTCCTTCTGTAACATGTCTTTGTTCTGATGTCGCTACCAGGTTTATTGACCAGATGCTCGCATATGACGAGTCTCATTTCTGATTCTTACCTGTGTCTCAGGTGGTCGGTCAGGTGTCTGTGGACATTGAGGCACCGCAGACTTCAGGTGGTGGTGCGAGAGCTCTTATGGATCTTCTTAATTAATATTAGTCTGTACTTGGATGCCAAAGTGCTCTACATGCAGCGTCGAGGGCATTCATGGCACCCCTAACCTAAATTAGAAGGAGATGTTTGTATCTATTTATACCATGTTGATCTTTGGCTCTTTCTTCCATGTTGTCTTACCTGCGCTCGTACTAGAATCTGCTGAAGCTGCTGGGAACTTGCTCTGGACTTTGCTGTGTGGGCCTATGTCTGTCTGGATCTATTCTGGAGTCTTGTGAATGTGAACACTGCTGTCTTCAGGTCACCGTAAGTTATTATTTCGCTCCATTGTCCACAAGCCTAATGACAGTTACAGATGTGTCAAATATGGGCATTCCGGGTATTGATTTCATGGCGCTTACCTTCGGAGGTGGTTTATGGTATCTGCACAATTCATTCCTGACCATATTTCACTGATTCCCTCTGTAGGATATTGTGAATTTGTCAAGAGTTCAATGGCAACGGGTGAAGACTCAAATCGTTGCAAAGGGATGAGTTGTCATTACATACTATACATGTAGTCTATATACAATGAAAGTGATTTATCTGATATGAGCCAGTGGAAGGTATTCCCGATGACATCCGGGAAAACACGGAATACAGCAGACGGCATCAGCCAAGAGATCTCGGATTGGATATGACTGCGCACAAATTGATTCATTTCGTTGGGACCTGGGCCATTTTTTTAAAGCCACTGGCCAGTCTTGTCCTGAATAGGCTGCGGGTGTTAGGCTGATTTCCACCCGGAGCGCAAACAGCATCTCGCTTGTTTCTATCCTTGTCTTGGCTAACCGGCGGTCCTACAAGTGCACCACCTGTGTAGTAGAACCAAAAGTGGAAGCAATTTTGTATCAGTGCGTCATTTGTATGCAAGCGCGTCATGTAGGTAAGTGCGTCATGTGAGGGCGGGCTTACATCACTCAGGAAAAACAACTGCTCCACTGTCTAGCACAGAGCCCCTCACTGTGATCACTGGCAGGGCCGGCCTGAGAATATGGAAAGCACAAGAAACCTGTTCCTAGTTATGGGGGACTAGAATATAAGAAGGCAGTAGTGCCTCCTCCTTGACACTTGTAGGCATTAATGAATCGTCTAGGTGGAAAGACAGGATGAATCTACACCGCACGGCCCTGCCAACAAGCAGCATGGCGCAGTGGTAGCGCGCGGGGCCCATAAAGGTTACCCCGAGGTCACTTGATCGAAACAAGTTGCTGCTATGATAATCGGGGGTATAACTAAGTCCCTGTTTTTGTTTCTTTTGTTACTTTTTTCAGCGGAGTACTAGCAACTACTCACTGTACTCAATGCTGCCCCCTCTTGGAGGTTTCGTGCGCAGCTCTAACGAGCAGCTCGTCGTCCGATAACCGGTTTTACTAGTATTCGATGTTCAATTTTCGAATCGCCAAAGTTATCCAACACCACAGAATTGTACTTGGACGCTTGCATCCTCCAAGGCTCACCATTTAATTTCCCAGTTACTTCCCAATTAAGAAACGGCAATAGGTTATTTAAGTTAAGTGTCCAAAATAGACAGAAAAGTCTACAAAAACTATACCCTTGCATGGCTGTTAATCGCGAACTATGAGGATCGAACTCACAGTCCCGAAGGTTCGATGCACTTGCCCATTATACCATTCATTTGTTACTCTCGGGTCACCAGTAAATAGCCAACATCGTGAACTGTACAAGGCCAAATCGTCCTATTATGTTCTACATCTATGATACAAACTAGCAATGCGATTACTGACTCTTCTCTAATGCCTTAATGACATCCGTGATGAGATCATCCCCATCCTCAATACCAACACTCAACCGCACCAGACCGCCCGATATCCCAAGCTTCTGGCGCTGCTCCTCCGGCAGCCCAGAATGTGTCATCCCAGCCGGATGTTCCGCCAAACTCTCAACACCACCCAAACTCTCAGCCAACGTGAACAGCCGCAGCTGCTCCAAGAACCGGCCCGCCGCGGGGTACCCACCACGAATCCGAACTGAAATCATCCCTCCGTACGGGAAATCAAATGTTTCTGCCGAGGTATCTGTCGTCCGACTGATCCACTTCTTCGCGTGAGCACTGACGCCTCTCCAGGCGACTGCATTTCGCTTGTGGGTGGCCAAACCAGGGTATATCACCTCCTCAACCTCCGGCCGTTGCTGAAGTACCTTCGCTAACGCTAAGGCATTCTCACCGTGTGCGCGCATCCTCACACCTAGTGTCTTGGCGCCTCTCTGGGCTAACCAGCTGTCGTACGCACTCGGAACAGCACCCATGGCGTTTTGGAGGAATCGTAGTCGTTCAATAAGCTGGGTATGATGAGGAGGTACGATGACGGCGCCCATGACAACGTCTGAGTGGCCGTTGATATACTTGGTCAATGAATGAAGAACGAGGTCGGCTCCGAGGGTGAGGGGAGAGGAGTAGAATGGGGAAAGGAATGTATTGTCGACGAGGACGAGAGGTTTTGAAGGATGCCGTCGTGCAATGGATACTATGGCTGGTATATCTACCACGCGCAATGTGGGATTTGTAGGCGTCTCGATCCAAATCAACTGTAGTTACAGGTTAGCATGTTTCATCGGTGAAATGAAGGAGTGAACATACCTTGGTATCATCTCTTATCGCGTCGTAAATCTCCTCCTCAGCGGCCTCTTCCAAATCGACAAACGTCGTCTCAACGCCTTGCAGCTCTCCAGCCACACGCTTCAGGTATCTCCAAGTTCCGCCATAGACATCATTCACGCTGAGAACGTGTCCTCCTTTCCCTATCATTGCGAGTACTGCGCCAGTCGCAGCGCTTCCGCTGCCAAAAGTGAGAGCCGAGCCTCCCCCAGCCTCCAAGTTCGACAAGAGCTTTTCTAACGAATCGCGATTAGGATTTCCAGAACGGCTGTACTCGTACCCCTTGTGGACTCCGACGGACGACTGTGCGAAGGTTGTAGATAGGGATATAGGAGGGATAACAGCGCCAGTAGTGGGATCTGGTTCGGAGCCAACGTGAATAGCGAGGGTGCTGAATCCGTCAGACTTCAAGAGTGATTTCGATACTGCATGTCCGTTCGACTCCTGATGACCATTGCTATAGCCGTTCGTGTGGGGAGCGTGGCCGGTACTGTTCGCATGATGAGTATCCATTCCAACCGTCATTGTAGCAGTAGTAGTGGGTGTTGGTCTCGTAGTGTCTTGCAAATAAGAGGTCCATTGCTTTTCCTTTTATTGTCAGCGCTGGAAGGGATTCGCAATTATTCGTCATCTGCTGACTCAGCCAGATGACTCAAGTTCCTCAAGCGTTCGTCATCCCCGACAGGGATTGCGAGAGTGGCGGGGTGTCGGCTGTGCTTGGTAATATTTAGTGGCATCTGGAATGATTCTGGGCAGCTTTATAAATGAATGAGAAGGAATCAAGACTGATGAAAATACACTTACATTTGTGATCTAAGGTTAGGGTTTATAAATCCGGGCGGAACATGTCTATGCAGATGATGACCGAGCTTCCTTGAGCACCGTGCTGAAGAACTAGTCCGCCAAGAGGTTCAAATTGATCAGGTGGCCAGGAAAGATATTCTGCGAAACATTAGCTAGGAAAGAGGGCCAACAGTATTACCCACCAGACATAACTAGAGCTGGGCGTCAGAATGCGTACATCTGCTCGGTGGAAAAAGCACTAGAGGTGGAGGATCACTGTCACCTTTCGGGGGAATTTTGAGAGATGAAGATACTGTAAAGACCAGCGACATAAAGTTTGAATTAAAACTCAGCTGATTTGGCATTGAGCGTCATCGGCATACCGTTCCGATTCGATCCCTGCATCACCAGCGGCCCGGGATGAGCTCGCAAACTTACATACGAAGGACCGGTTCGCAACGTTTTCCGAAATTGGGTCATCTGCTATCAATAGCGGTCGTCGGTTGACGACTACGATACCTTGCTTTATGGTTTGCAGTTTTTGTTTGCTTTGGCCATGTGAAGTTCTTTAGGAAAGGGTTTGTTATTTGGCTGGATGAAAGTTACACCGATTAAAGCAGATAAAATAGCAGGATCTGGTGGCAATATCCATGGTTTCTATAGCAGTGTGGCTTTGTAAGCGACCACATACGACGCAGATGGACTCTCGTAAGCTTCCCTTGTTGGTTCGCTCGATACATGTTAATAATCTTTGTCGAACGCAATCTTTATGCACAGGAGATAGAAATGAGTCCTCTTCTCTTTCATTATCCATCCGAAGTCGTTTAGTCTAATGCATGCGATGTTCATAGTCCTTCCAAATCTCTGTGATAAAGTTCTGTATCACGTTCGTTGGGAGGATAGCGCAGAACTGAGTGAACACGTCTCGTCGACGTGTCATTTCTCCAGGAATGTTGTATAACGAGTTCCACATTTCATGAGCTCGATCCAAGGACAATGGTCCTATGACGTCTTGAACAGGAGTATTGTCATAGAATATTGGATTGGAAGAATTAATGTGATGCATCTCCACCAAATTCCATACACATTCAAACTCGGGGAGTTGAAGTAAACGATAGCAATCCTCTCATGTTAATTTTCAAGGAATATTCCTATCTTTGAACAGTCAAGACATCTCAATGTCATGACAAGAACAGTTACTTACCAATGTTATATTGACGGCAGAACCATTGTAACATTGGGGTGGTTACAAAGTGATACTCCTCATCAAGCGCAATACCATCAGCAAATATAGGACATTGCAAACAGTTCTCCATATTTTTCCAAAAGCTGACAAGACTGTCTCCTTCCAAAAGAGAACAGAACATGTATATCATTGATTTTCTCTCATGTCGGAGATCTGATGGAAGGGATGCAGAAGGACACACTGAATGCAAGGTGTCAATGATAGTTAATTTCTGATGAGGCCGTAAAAACGCTTCCACAGATGTGCCATCTGCGAATTTAGGTTCAAGCATGTCCAATCCCCTTTCATGAATAAGTTTGTCCAAACTTAGTCAGTCCAAATGTTCCAGTAATTCCTGTCGTGTATAACACTCTTGGATCAATAGACCTGTAGGTTTTAGGTTGTCAATTTGACATAAACAGCCATAGAACGTCTGCTACCTGGATGTCGTGTCTTGATGATGTATAAGAGCAAACTGGTTGATAATTGGTTGAATGGTTGTTCCCATCCATAAAACTGAGATGTAGCAGTGTCTCGAACTGCATTTTGCTCGATGGCATTACAATCCCCAACGAGATAGTATAAATATTCACGTTTATCAGCAATTGAAGGACCAACTGGGATCTATAACATGGTTAATGTAGAAATTTATCTCGAATAACACAAACCTCATGGTCTCCCAACAGCCTTACAATAGCATCTACCTCAATCCCGTCAAACACAGATCCTACAGATATGCCATCATGGAAGGACATGATGTGTGAACGTAATTGTGCTTAGTAGTCACTGTTGTCTCACAAGTGCATCGTCAGCTTTATCATGTGCTTTATGGGGAGACAGGAAAGTGAGGTATTCTATGACTCTTTTTGGAAAGCATTCAATCCTAAACCAAATTTTACGCGTATGGGTTGAAGATCATGTGCTGAGAAAAATCACGGGACTCTAGGGACTTGGTCATCCCAAAAGTTGACCTTGAGAGACCTTGGCAAGCAACACTGCATGGAGAATTCAATATTCTTGGCTGAAATATTAAAATTTATAACTGTATATTAATTTCATATATTACACAAAAATATTGAAACAATATTTCTAATATTCTTTCAATATTTGGGAATTTTTCAATATTTCTTCAATATACAGGATTATTGAAATATTCTTAAGAATAATGTTTTGATATTTTGGCCAAGATTCTTGAAAAAATATACAGTTATAGAATTCAATATTTCAGCTAAGAATATTGAATTCTCCATGCAGTGATACCATATACGGTATATGGTCGTAAAGCCAAGGAAGCTGATGGCTTCGGACCGTATAATTATAGCCGTGATGGTCGTATATAAGGCTGTATTCGTGGCTACTTGGTAGGTCACTATAAACGACTTGATTTCAGTGCAAAACACTGTATTGTTCGAAGTGGCATATCATATTCTGATATATTATGTGCACATTTGGGTCATAAAATCAACCAATTGTAGCTCATTCAAAGCGAGTTCAAGGACTGCTGAGCTATGTCATAGTGGTTAGCATGAAATATCTTGAGTCCTGTAGCTACCTAAAGTGTCGCACTCCTGGTGAGTAGTGGAATATCA